GCGTACGTGTCAAGCTCTTATCGCGTGCATTCTCCTTTATATAATAAGATATAAATTTCAGTTGCCATTTAATTATTTTATATATGAAAATATGTGAAATCAAAATGTAATCCATTAGAGTTAAGAAAAAATATGTTAAATTTGGTTTGTCCGAATATCTTAAGTAGTATATAGAATACAAATAAATTATTTAATATTTTAAAACATTAAAATATATAATCATAAATTTTATAAATAAAACCTAGATAAAAAAATTGTTGCTTTCGAATAAAAAAATATTTTTATTACTTTCAAATTGTCTTGCGTAAAAAAAATTCAAAAGAATAACTACATTTTTTGTTATAAACTTGAAAAGTTTTTTTTCATAGAGATATCAAAGTCTCTTTTAAAAATTTGGTAAGTCTTTATTATTATTTTCAAAAGAATATATATTCTATAAAAATGATCTCTAATTTTATTTTTACAATAATCAATTTTTAAACTTTTTTTAAATGGAAAACCAAATTTGTATATAACTTCAAAATAAAAACAAAAATCTGATTATATATTGGTCAAAAACTTTTTTGATTTATTTATGGTAACAAATATAAATTTAGTTGTACAAGATTTTGTTATTGATTCAAAATTGTCATGTCACAATTTTGTTAGCCATGTCATAATTGTTTTGTTGAGAGTGATTGTAGAGATGACACATACGCATCTTCTCACAAATCACGTATGCGGGGATAAATAATTGAAATCGTTAAGAACATCTCCACAAAATATACGATGTATTTTAATACATTTCCATAGAAATATTTCTGAGACTTTACTACCTTAACGATTTTATGGAGATACTCCTAACGATTTTCCTAATCTTCCAATTATAAATAATGGTACTAAAATTTCGGATGTTGTTAACGTTAATCAATTAATCAGAATATGGTAATTCTTATTTAATTGGAATACTTCCACCAGATTGTTCTTGTGTAGATTTTACTAAAATTTTTCATATTTTTAAATTTAGAGTTGATGATACATAAATTTCGGACCA